GAAAAATTAAGCTCTATGCTGTTTATGATTTTTTTATTTTAAAAAAATAATTATACATATCGGAATATGACGATACTAAACTTTGTTTATGTATGAAATAAAAATTCATAATAATTTTAAAGAAATTTGATAAAATATGTAAAAAGCCTGACCAAAAAATCGGAATTTTCATTGACTTTTTGTTTCAACGCAATTCAATAATAAAATTATATTAAACATTGATTAGTAATTATCGTAAATAATAACCGTTTATAATGAACAGGTATGACATGTGCCGTCGACGAAAGGGCGGCCGTTGCACCAAAGGGACTGCCGGTAAACCTGTTTTTGTTTTACAGGGGGCCTGTATATAGCTGCCACTAACTTTTATTATTATTTAAACGATATTTTAATATTCACATGTTTGGCTTCATATATGTACAATATATGAAACGGCTTGATTTACGTATTTTTGTATGTGGGAGTACTAATTTAATTTATTTATTGCAATTGGTTTGTTTTTTCATGCTTTTATGGCCTGCCAGTAATCCAAAAAAAATATTGTTAAATTATATTCCCTATTTTTATTCAATAAGTAACGTTCATACAAGCATGAAACTGGCTGATTACCCAGACCATGGAAATAAACTAGGAGATTTGATCCGAAATTCTTTTATACAATATACAAATTAAGTATTTATTACGTCCTTTTGTTTACTGCGTGTGAAGATACAATCGCATTCATTATTATTCAAGGATAGAGTTTGAGAAGCACAAAATAATGAATCAATATACGTAATTAGTCAATAATAAAGGCCAATAAATCCTCGACCCTAGCAAATAAATGTGAAAGTCACATTTCATCAGATAAAGCACATACAATACCTCTTTACCATTCAGTTTTTCCTATCACGTTGTGATTTTAGCGCCTTCGTTACACCAACATTTTTTATTGCAATTTTCACACTGTTTATTGATTAACCGACTCCTTTCTTTCACATGTACTGTCTGCTTTTCCAAATAAGTACCGCAAATAATCCAAGGAGATAAATATTCCAATTTTGGCATCGCAGCAATGTCAGATTATTCTTAACCCGTAGCGTGAAATTCAATTGAACAAAAAAATGCTTCCTAGTGCTGCATAATACAAAAAAGATGTACAAAATTTCACCATATCAAACGCTTTTAACCTTATCGAAACTAAGTTTGTAGTCCGTGGAAGTTGCCATTGTTGATCTGAACGCATTGCAGGAGGAAAAGTTACCATATGCTTTACTACAAATCTGTGATAGTAGTAATAGTTACACTTGACTTTTAGTTGGCAAATTGTATTCACATTCTAATAAACTAGGAAATAATCAAACATCTCAAATGGCCTTGCCATTAGTCTGTCAAGACCCTTTTTCTGAGGAACGTGTGGAGCTGTCAAATCGAAATTAACATCCAATAAATCAGATCTGCAATATCCCTTGGAGCTGTGAGAAAATCAAACTTCTGAGTCAACGAAATCAAAAGATACAAAAACGAATACCCTTCATGCCGCATATTTTGATACTAGCTAGGAAATCAAAACCTGTAGGTTTGGCCTACAATTATGAAATTTNCGACCTACGAAACACTACTCCCAAATTGCTGTTAAGAACTTATGTATACAGATACATAAAAACTATTAACCTCAAATAACTAAAACGAACAGAAGAAAGAAGAAACAACTTGAGTAAAACTTTTTTAATATTAAATGAATTGAAAATATTGCGAGGACCAGAAATTATTTTCCTCTGCATTTTGGGTTATATTTTTAATTACTAATTTATATTTTGGGGAACAAAGAATTGATGGTGGTGTAAATGGTCAAGATATTATTATCGCGATTTTGGCTTCAATGAACTTCATCAGCGTACCGTATACAGTTTCGACAGAAAACAGACCCACTCTACCTGTTACCTTAAGACAGCGTTTTATAAATTACTACAAAAAGCGTGGTAAAAGCCATCTGTAGCATATTGCTGCATTTTATGGAATTCGAAAGCGTTTCACAAGATCCACAAGGACATCGATTTGTCAAAATCCACGGGGTAGCTAGCTTTACGTGGTAGGCACGTAACCAAAGAGAACTAAAAGTTGTTGATCATTATTGTGTCGAAACCATCAGACGCAAATTGTGGTTTCAATAGAATTTTCCACAAATTGCAGCAATAAGTATACATTAATATTTTGTGGAGTTGTAATTATACAGGATGTAATAATTTGTCAGCACTCATTTTTTTTTACTTACCTACTACTTTTGTAAGATAACAGTATTTATATATATAATAAAAAATCGTAATTTTCACTGATATATTGTTTCAGTGGAGACACAGCAACATGTTTGTTCAACGCACCCCACGAAGAAGAAGGGCTGCCCCGAGTCCTGCCAGGAAAGTTGATGACTTTGGACGCCCAGTGCCGAAGGGATCGAGGAACCAGTGCTTGTTTTGTAAGTCTAAATCTCTTTTATGAATGAAAAATTAATAAATGTTTCTAACAATATGTTGTGTTAAGGAAAGCGCAAGTAATGCATTCCTGATATATTTGTGAATAAATTAGTATTTACTGAATGAATGGGGTTGTAAGATGATTAAAACGCAATAAAACATTTATGAACATTATAATGTAACACTAATAAGTTACAGTGAGACCCTTATGAATACTTGCAAATCTAATAAGTTTAAAACACAATTCTTCAATCATGAATACTTTGATGTTAAGTGACTTCAAAGTATATAAAACTAGATTCCCAAAAACAATGACACAGCATACGTTTTAATACTCCCTGGAATTTCATGTAACAGTCACCTCACCCTCAACATGTCGAATAGATGAATACAATGCTACGTACTTCGAGCTGCTTATATATTTATTTTGCAATTTACAATTCATAATCCCCTTCAATCATCTTGCAATCCCCCCCCCCTCCAGACCCATTGGCTGGTGACCTCCTTGCGGTCAGTGTATTTTGTAATTTTATTAATAAATACACAGTTGGTATATGTGTATGAGTGAATGTTTATTATGTATGCACATGGTTGTGGAAAACATAAGGGTGGAATGTTAAGGGCAGAACGTGGCTATTGTGAGGGGTACAGGAAATTTAAAGAAAGCATCCTATTTAAAACCATGCTGTATGTTAAAAAAAAAACAAACAACGGTAACCATGTAGCTGTCAGAAATATAAAGAACTACTATCAGGTACTAAATGTATTTAATAACTGTGCTAAAAATTAAAAAACTTTTTGCTACTGAAATATATTTCTTATTAAACAAAATACAAAAATACAAAACAGATTTACAAAGTATTGCAATTTCAAATTAATATTTATATTAATAATTGATCATATGAAAATAGAGATATTCATAAAGGATACGAATAGTAGACTCCTTATTTGGACCTTGAATGGTTTCAAAATAATAACATCCACATATTTACGCACAAGTACTCTTAGCGCCTTCGCTTATTATAAGTAACGTAGCTTGGAGAGAGTAAGGAGTCCCGTAAAACGTAAGGGGAGCCGAGGTGGTAACGCGTTACGTAACTTTTGTTTTTAATAAGATAAAAAATGGTATTCTACAATTAGTAATTTTTTTTAAGTAAAAAGTAAGAGTTTTGTAACGTTTAGATAAGGGGCGATGGGTTAGGGGAAGTACTAAAATTTTCAAAAACTCCAATACGTAATACTTAAACGACCTCTTATTTGCAGCTTATAAGCTTTCTTATAACTAACCCCTGAGATTATTCAATGTAAATTACACCGTTCACTGTTTTGTACACTGAAAATGTAATCTGACGAATAAAAATTATAACTTACAGAAAGATGAAAGAGTTTGCGCTCAATTATTTTGTTTTGACGCAACAAGTGGCTACTGCGTGGCTTACAGACCTGCTGCTGAAGGATCATCATGTGGAGATGGTCAGGTAAGTTTGTAATATATCCAAGGCAACAAAGTAGATACTGTTTTTGAAAGTTGTCTCGATTTCACATCATGTTAACTTAATTAACATTAAACTGATTAATTAAAATTAAATTTTTCAGGATGATTTCATAAATCTGATGGTTTCATATAGATAAACTACAGGGTAAAAGCTAGCGGAACATAATTTGTTTTGTTGTGCCAATATAAATTTTTAATCAGGCACATTAAAAAT